ACACACACACACACACACACACACACACACACACATACATATCTACACAGCAATACCCCATCTACAGCACAATTACCAATCCACGAAACAATCTTCTAAATCCCAAGATCCCATAAAATATTCATCAATCTATCACCAACATACATTATCACCACCACCCCGCCAAAAAGGAAAAAAAAAAAAAAAAAAACCACGCCAACTGAAACAACACATGTAATAAAGAACGAGTTCGCTATTATTCATGGATATGAGGAGAGCACGAAAAACAGAAAACCCTTCGCTTTGCACAACCAAACCATGATGCAGGATTACATTTGCTTCTGTGCGAGATAAAACAGAAAATTAGAAATAGGATGGTTGCTTTCATAACATTTTTACACAAAATCGCCCTCTACGTGGAAAAGACCCCAAAGTCACCCGCAAACCAGGTGAAGGTGGTGATCGTGATGAGGACCATGCCGAACACGAACTTGAGACCTTGGCGTTCGAGTTCGGAGAGGGCACCGCTGCAGGTGGCGCAGACGAATCCTGCACAGGGTATATCGGTTAGTTCTGAAGCAAAGAAAGGGGGGAGTTGGGAGAGACGAACCATTCAATGGCGTGTACGACTGCGGACTATACATGGCGAAGGTGTAACTGGCGGCGCTGAGGTGGCCGCCCTTGGCCGTGTCGGAGATGGCCTTGCTGGCGTCCCAGACGATCAGCGTGTACGAGGCGGTCAGCAGCGGGACCGTCGCGTTGGCCTTGTACTCGCCCGTGTCCCAGACGACCTTGTTGGTCTCCTTGACGGTCATGTTCTGCGTGATCGTGTACTTGTGGCTGTTCAGGCTGCACGAGGCGATGACGTTGACCGCCGTCGGCGTCACGTCCAGCGAGGTGTAGTTCCAGGCGAACGTCACCGAGTTGCCGATCTTGTAGTACGTCGTGGTCGTCGTCGCGGGCGTCAGTATCGAGATGCCACCGGCCCAGGCATTGGTGGTCGTCGAGTTGCTGGACGTGGTTTTCGTGCTGCCCTTCTTGGTCGATGAATCGGATCCCGTCTCGGTCCCGCTGTTCGTGTCGGTCCCGGTCGCGGTGCCAGTGGCCGTCCCCGTTGCGGTGCCCGTGGCCTTGCCGGTGGCTTTCGTCCCTGAAGCGGTCTCCTTGGCCGAGTCGGTGGCCGAGTCGGTAGCGGAATCGGTCTTGGCTGCACTCTTGCCGGTCGTGGCGGCTTGTCCGGTCGTGGCGCTGTCGGCTGCTGTGGTGTCTTTGGTATAGTCAGTATGGAGGAAATGTGAGCCAGCGTTTAGGGGCTGAGGCGGTACTGACCAGCTCGCCGCAGGAATTGACCGTGCGCCAAATCGTCCCCAGGGGAGGGGAACGCCGATGAGATCGTCCCCAGGAGGAGGAGGATGCACAACGCGGGTAGGAGGTATAGGGAACGCATGATGGTGGTGCGGGCTGTGCGGACGATGGAGGTTGTAGAGAGTGGGTGAAAACCGAGGGGTCGAGTGATCCCCCTTGGCGAAATTCAGGGTCCGATCGACGTGGGCCCGTCGCTGTGATGAGGATTCGTCTCTCAGACAAGGAGGTGCAATGTGTCGAGCGATTGAGATTAAGCGGATAATGCAGTCGATGGCGATGGAAACGGTGCCCAGAGATTGACAAGACGATGGAACTGCAGCGGGTGGTCGGTCTTTTTAGGCCAGCGGGCCTGAAACATGCAGATCGGCTGATAGATTATCGGCAGGGTCCAGCGAGAGTCGGGGTGGGTAAACAAAGCGAGTGACGGGGTCTGGCGCTCAACAAAACTGCAAAGGACGAAGGCAGAGAAGCGACTGACACTTATCTGGGGACGATGCAGAGGAGGATAGAATAAAAGAGTAAAAAAAATTGGTCCAAATAGACCACAAGCAGGCGCAGCAGAAGACGAGAGGCGAGAGTGAGAGAGAGCGAGCGAGCGAGCGAGAGAAGCGAGAGACTAGCAGAAGGAGAAGGGGAAGAGGGGACTAACCCGATTGGGCCAGTTGGGCCATTTGTGAGACACGCAGCTATTTTTGGTGTTTGCTAGCCTGGGGCAGCCAGGCATCATTCACTCATGGATGACATGATGCAACGCACATCTTGGACAAATGTTGTGCATACCCTTGCACCTCGATTCGCTCCTTGCACCCAGTATCCTGCACGTCTACAAGCCACTATTGCCAATTATTGCTTCCTTTACTTGCCGACTCGTCGATACTAGCAGATAAATAAAAGAGGCACTCGATGGTATGTATAATTTGTAATTGGGAAAAAATTTCTCACTGTGTCCCACAATCATCGATAGCCAGAACTCAATCAAAAGCAGAACGCTATCGCACAAATCACACATAGATACATTGGCTTCCCATCATCATCCTTCGCAGGTCATTATTACGATTAATTAGCATTAACATCAGGGCGAAAAGTCTTAACCGTCGTCGTACTGATACAGATCTTGTAAGCGTCAAGCTGGCGGGGAGGGTGGCGAATAGTTCTCCGGATCTTTATCTTTGCGTCGTATGATTCATCAACCACGAGGCGTCGTTGTGGTGGTGGTAAAAGCAAAATACCCCCCTCGTGCCTTGTCTAGGAGGTATATTCAACGGTGAGGTCGACCTTGTCGCAGGAGGAAGGGATCGTGGCCGGCAGGTACTTGTAGAGCCAGAAGAGCTGAGGAGCGTTGTGGTACCAGTCGCAGACTAAAGTAGATAACGAAAAGAATCGGTCAGTGACAAGGGTCCCTCTATGATTTACTTCGTGCAAATCGGGGTTCACTTACCCAACCAGCCGCCGAAACCGTTCTGCTCCGACCACTGAAGGCTCGTACCGTCGACCGAGAAACCTTCGTCACCGTAACCGACATTGATCTGGACGGGTTCCCATGCTACAACACGATGTTAGCCCAATGCGTATTTTTTTTTTCATTCGGAGAGGCGAATACTGACAAGCATAGTTGGTGTTGGCACCCATCTTGAATCCCCAGGGGAAAGTGGTGCCCAAGTCGAACTGAGCGTTTGTACCGTTCAGGGTAACAGCTCTGGCTCTGGAAGTGTCGGAGGTGAGCACAGCATCATTGAAGCCAGCGCCGGTGTGATAGGCGTAGACGTAGAGGTTGTTGTGAGCGTCGTTGGCAGCGCCGGAGGTCTTGAGGTAGAAGCTCTTAGCGGTATCGCGAGCTTGGATGGGGCTGGCCGCAACAGCGGAGACGAGCAGAGCGAGAGAAGCGAGGAACTTCATGATTGCGAGAATTAGATGTAGAGATGAAGACGAGAGAATGAGAATCCTGTACAGAGGTAGATATTGTGCTGTAGAACGAAGAGAAGGCTGTGTGTGTGTGTGTGTAATGAAGAAGGGATGGCAATGGGAATGACGGGTGTTTAAGTATGGAGCGGCGAGCACTCCCACCAGATCCGGTGGGGAAGAAGGCCGTGGGAGACGAATTTCCTAAGGAGGCAATGGAAGACGAAGATCAGAGGAACCAAAGCAAGAACAAAGTCAATGAACACATGAAAGGACGAAAGAGAGGAGACAGGAACTAAAGTGGTGGTTGAATTGGTGGGTGCAGATGGACTTGGCACTGCTCACTGCCCCAGGAACCCTCCCCGGGTTTGAAGGAACACTGGTACGGAATACTGCAGGACTAAACGGGATTGATTGAATGATGGGAGGCAAAAGAGAACAAGAGCAAGAAGAGCAAGATGAGACTTGGCCGGCCCACTCACGGACTGTCCGCTACTCCAGGCTCCGCTAGCTGCCTTCAAGGTTGGGCGCCGGCCACGACCGATTGGCTTTGGAGTCGACGTGGTGATTGGTCTGGGGCACAATCAGTCAGCGACGGTGGGCGGCGAAGTCGGAGACAGATGGTGATTGGCACAGAAAGGCGGGGGAGTAATGAGACATTCCATGTTCTGTCTGGCTGTCTATCTGTCTGGCCCACAACGAGGAAATCTCCCCATCATGCTGTGGGAAATTGGAGGCTGGAGGTAATCAACCACAACCACCACACATTCTGCCAGGTACTGCTTACAGTACAATCCTCCCATTTCTTAGAATTCTACTCAACACTAAACAACATGCAAAATGAAAAACTCTGCCTTCTATTTTTATTCCGTTAAACAAATACATACAATGCAACAAACCCCAAACTTGGAGCCAGTTGATCCTCATCTATTCTGTCGATCCCGATCTATGCTCACGTATCAAGTAAAATGACCATTGGATCTTCAGGACTGTATCATCACAGTCCTACCCCATCAACCAACGTCTATCTGATGCAAAAACTCTATGCACCTATCCCCTGAGCAGCATGCACCAAAAAGAAAAAAAAATAACCGTGTCAGCCAAAAAGTGGATTAACTTAATTATAGAAACAAGCACTTTGTTCCCTCCGCTCTGTCAGCATCAGCCATGAAGAAAGAACCCTAGACTATAATCTGACGTTAAGGCTGTGCTATCATGCAGGAATTGTGCACTTTACTTGCCGATCGGATCTCCGAATTTCCCCCAAATTATCAAAGCGGACTACATCACTCCAACGTTTGTCGTTTACTCTGTTGTATGTGTATGTGTGTATGTGTGTGTGGCCTTGACATCATGATCGTCCGTTTCCGTTCAACGATGCTGGCCGGTACGGGGCGCCTGCACCTCGGGGATTGCCTTACATCACACGATTCCATCTGATAGTCTGAGCTATAGGGGGTTGAATACTAGCCGAGGAAAGTCCTGGCTTTTTTTTTTTTTTTTTTCACGAGGTCGTGGAATTTCCCGCACGTTTGTCCCTTCACGCATGGCAGGATCCGTGAAGGTTGGTGTTGAGAGGGAAGGTTGCATATACTTCCGGGCTATCTCCGAGACATGACTCGGAACAAGGCACCAGACACATGAGCATAACACGGAAGATAGATCAGATGATTCAACCATCATAAACATAACGAGACATCTCATGCATGAGAATGTAGGATCTCGTATATATCGTCATGTCTCAGACTTATGAAGGGGGGGGGGGGAGTCGCATCCGCCCGCGGCAATGTAGACTTGTCTCACCCGATACGAGGTGGGTTGCATATCGCTTAAAAAACATATACATCGACGCATACAGAAAGAAAAAAAAACATCCTACGATGCCGCCGGGTACAGGCGAATATCCACCCCATGTAAATGCGACAAAGTCAGATTGGACATGATCCGGGGCTCCTCCACCGCCGGTGCGGCATTTTCGATCCGGTCGAAATGCTGCAGCAGGCGGACCAGGGTATAGCTCGCTTCGGTCAGGGCATATTGCTCTACCATCCAACAAGTTAGCAAAGCATTTTCCTAAAAGGGGAAGTGACGGGGGCTTGGGTTATGAGATGTAACTCACGACCAAGACAGATCCGGGGTCCGCCGTTGAACGGCAGGAAATCCCACCCGCGGATGGCGTTCTCCTCCCAGCGTTCCGGCCGGAAGCTTCGCGCATCAGGCCCGTAGAGGTCCTCCCGCCGGTGCATCGCATATACGGAGTACGTGACCAGCTGGCCCTTGCGAATAAACACGGGGGCCTTGCCGTCCGGGCCGCCGCCCACCGGGAGTGAAGTGTCTTTGACAGCGACACGGAAGTTGAGTGGCACGGGGGGCAGCAGACGGAGGACTGGTCGAGTGTCAGTACAAAGCCTAATTCCAGAAGAATATAAATCGCTTACCCTCGTTCAGGAAATACCGCAGATATGGGATATCCTTCAACCGCGCCTGCGTGATCTTCGCCCGCGGATGCACACGATCACCGAATTCCTCGACGATAGCCCGCCGCAGCCGGTCCCAGACGGCGGGATGACGCGCCAGGTAGAAGAACGCCGAGCTCAGCAGACTGGCCGTCGTGTCACGTCCTGCTAGCAGAATATTGAGCATGTTATCGCGCAGGACCCTCGGATCGTCCGTCTCCGCGGCCAACGCCTCGGCGAAGATGTATCGATCCGCACTCTTGTTCGGGTTGTTCTTCGAAGCCAGCGCCAGTCGGACATAGTGGTCGACGACCTCATGCACGCGCTTGTTGGCGTCTTGGAACTCCTTCGGGTTGACCAGCCAGTACAGGCCCATGAACCGGTTGCGGGTGAAAAGGTACTCCTGCGACAGGTTGAATGCCTCCGCGAAGCCCTGTGCATCCCCGACTGTTGTCTTCTCCAGAACCCCGGCGTGGCCGGAAGAGTGCATCGCGTTGACCGACTCGCCGAACAGAAAGTGCGTTGCGGAATCGATGGTCAGTAGGAAGAAGAGGCGCTGGATATCGAAATCGCTGCCATTCTTCGGGATCAGCTCGATCAGTCGGGAGACGTGACCGTCCATCAGATCTAGATCCGCCACCTGTCCGCATTTAGTTTCTGGGCCCTGAGATGCGTGAGATATATGAGCTGGCCTTACCTGATCCCGCGTGAACTGCGGCCGTAACAACGCCCGGGCATGCGACCAGCCCGCACCATCTAGTGTGAAGATGCCGTTCCCAAGCAGGGGATAGAACTCACGGTGGCGGGTACCCAGGCTGAAGTCATGGAATTGGGTGGCTAAGAGGGCTTTCAGATTTTCAGGCTCAACCGTGGACAGAATCGAGACTCCTCCTAGCCCGGTCAAGCTGAACGTGGGTCCATACTGATCGTAGAACCCCGCAATATATTCGACTACGCGGCTGTCCTTCGCTGCCCGTGCGAGTTCGAAGAAACTCTTGAGACCGAGAGGATCAGATGGGATCTTTTGTGGAGGCTCGCAACCCAGCGATTTTGCGGTTCTGCGGTTTCTGATTGTTTGTCGGATGGAGCGCAGGAGTTGATATGTCAGGTACAGTGCCCCGCTGACCAGAGTGATTAGAGTCAGCATGATGCTGGAGTTGCCTGGAAGTAAGGCAAAGGGCTGGCTGATTTGTAGGGTTTTAAATAAATGAGCTGTATTGAAGTGAGTTTGAGGTGATCCTGAAGAAAGTCTTCTCTGCAAGTTCCAGATATACTTATTTATACCTGTACAATATGGGCATTTAGGCATAGGATTCCTCGGTGGAGACACATGTCACAAAAACGCCCCCGTGTGCCTCCTCAGGACACACTAGTACTCAAAGTTGGAGGCGCAAGAGGATAAAGAAAGGTTAAAGCGACCCAGACAGCAATGATTGGAAAGGAAAAGTGGGAAAAGCATCATGGCTGATTCGTGATTTCATGGCTCGAGGCTCGGAGGCCGGGGAAATTCGCAAGCATCTCCGAAAAGGGTTTAGAAGGTTAGAAGGACGGAAGCGGCAATGGTGGAGCACAGCCTGAGTACTTACTATCTACCCAGCTCCTTCATTCTCTAATCTTCTGCCATCTGCTGGAAACTCAGAACATCTATTCTGATTGTGGCCTAATATGTACATTGAAATTGGTCGATCCATTCTCTCTCTCAACTCTTGGTCGACGTCCCCGCTCCTGTCCCGAAGCACGGCAGCCACTGCAGCAGCGCCGTGCTGAACATCCCGCGTGACAGTTTCCCGGCTGTGGGGAGCATCTGAAAGTCGAAGCAGTGCTCCGAGTCCTCCAGGATATATCCAAAGACCGTGTTCTCATTGGTCGTCACCCCACACGACGGAATGTCGCTGGAGAATTGAACGCCCTGGGGTGCTGTGTCCTCTGTCGACAGGACGGACAAAGTCCGCCACGGATCGAACTCCCCTCCACTGGTATATGTGTTCGAAGGTCGGATGGTCCACCCGCCAAACTCGCGGTTGGTCTGGTCCGTCAGAGGCTGGGCCGGTAAGAGCCCCTTCTTGATCGCGTCGGGGAACTGCCGGTTGCAGATATGCTGCTGATACTCGAGGGTCTGATAGCTTGAGAGCAGTGCATGGGGGCCGGCATTGTTGGCCTGGTAGAACCCCCATTCGGTGCAGTACTGCCAGGTCCAGCTGATGGCTGAAGGGTCGCCGTACGGCTTGCTCAGATCGCATTCCAGCGGCAGGCTGGTGTTCTGGCCCCTGCAATTGGTGTCCATGTTCTGATTGACCAGGGTCGTCAGCACGGGCCAAGCCGCCCAGCGCTCCGCCACATATTGCTTGCCGTAGATGGAGGCCAGCCCATCGGGACCGGCAGTTTGGTTGGTGTTCGGGTCGGTTTCCAGGTACTCGCAGAAAGCCCCCAGGCTTGCCGTGCCCCCGTCCATGCCATACGACTGGAAACTCCCGTACATCGCCACCAGCGCGGCTGTGAAGTCCCCGTTGGAGTTCTTCTCGGCTTCCGAGCCGAGGAACAGTTGCTTTATCGACCCTGCCGTTTGATTACTCAACAGCTGCTCATCGATGTATTCTAGCCCGGCACGAATGTCCTTGGTGCAGTTGGCCCACCCACTGGCCACCATTCCTCGGTAGACCTGGTCGAAGTAGTTCGTCATATTCACTTGGGCCTGTACCGGGGCCGAGGAGGACCAGGCAGCGAAAATGGTATCCGGGTACTCCTGACGAGTCAAAGCCGCGCGGATGCCAGCGTATGAGCCACCGATCATGACCCAAGGGGTCCCTGCGGGAGTGAGATCGACTTCGGGATGGGCCTTGCGACTGAAATTCCGTGCAAAGTACGGGAGATCTGCGAGCGCTTGCTTGGTTGTGAGGTATTGATAGTCCTCTGGCGGAGTGTCATAATTCACAGGGAAGGGGGTCGATTTGCCATAGTATCTGACGCTGTCAGTCCATGGAGCCGACCCAAGCATCTCCGGTGCGGGTAGACGAACCTATGCTCCCAAATGATCCCCATGGCATTGAATTCCTCCAGAGTTGACCGGAAGAATGACAGCGACGAAGTGAGGTGCGCCTGCGCGACCGAGGCTGCCTCCGTTTCTCCGGCGTCGTAAACCAAGATCGGCTTGCCGGCTTGATAGAACTCGTCACTCACCCAGAATCGGTTTCGGTATGTACCTGCCGATGCGTTGTTGTGATCGATCGGGATCTACGGACGTTAGATCCGTACCACCGACACAAAACCTCTGCGACCCTTACCGAGACGTATTCGTCTTTTATCGTCACCATCGCCGAGTGTGAGACGGCTGAATGAATGCTTGCGTACTCATGACGGTCAAGGTCCGGCTCTATCCCCAGTTCCGCGAGGAGTTGCACGTCGCGACCGAAGGGGATCTTCTTCCCCCGCCCGACCACCGAGGATGGAAGTAACGCGACCGCAATCGCGGCAAGACATGATAGCTTCACATACATTTTCCTTGTGATGGATGTCGACGAGCAGGCACAGTGCAAGAAACAATGCTCATAGGCCGGAGCGCGAGTGCCATTTCAGCCATGGACGACGCCATCATGCGCTCCCTTTCGCTATATATACGCCTCACAGACATATTCCCGAGCAGGACGGTTTCGGCTCCCTGTATGACAGAGTGGATATTGCAAATGAATGGCTACGAGCCGAGTCATGCTGTGTTGTTGACGGACGGCAGAACAAACAAACAGCGGCGGCTGCATGGGTAACCAGGGATGCCGCTTGTTCTGTGTTCGGCTTCTCTGGCTGGAATGTTGGACAGGGGCTCGGCCCAACCCCTGGCCGGAATTGATGAAAACATCACCGAAGTGATTTGTGCCTGGTCTTGGGGTTGGGTTTGTTCCTTTTTGCAGTTCCGATGTTAATCCCCAGACTGCGATCTGGGGTTTGTGCCGTGTTCCGAGATCTCAGATGTCACTGAAAATGTGGACAGCAGGAAAACCACAATCGCATTGTCCAACCTGATGACTCTGATGGAGTTCTTTCGGCGTCATACAAACCTTATCGTCTACGTCGTACAAGCTGAATGTCTCGTGGATTGCCCTGAGGCAAGGTCACTTGTTGATCAATATCTTTCTACTCGAAAAGCTCCAAGTCCATGCTGAGATATAGTACGATGCGCACTCCGTGGACCTTAGATGAAGCCTTCAAGGCGCCAGACCAATCTTAAGCTGTCAAGTAGAAGCCGACTGATCGAGTTTGTTGCTCCACTGAGGGCATTTTTCTCACACAAGTAACAAGGCCATAGGCCTCACTACTCCTGTACCACATCCGTCTTGAAAACTTACCACCCTGCCAACATTCATTGGTGGGACACGTCTCTTCAGACTGCCAGTGACAGAAAATTAGCGTCCATCCAACCATCCATCCACAGAACTTCCCACCGAACTTCCTTGGACCTGCACGTAGTGAATGATGCGAGCACGAACTGCCTGCAGAGGATTCCCGTTCAAACCCCTGGATCCAACCTCCCAACCCGGCAAAGACATTGCAATACATCCAGGATGGGTCTCGTCGTCTACCTGGCTTTTCCCCGTTGTTTCTTCCGCTTTTCATTATCCAACCACCCAATAGTAACCACATCGAATGTCCTCAGCCGACTTTGACCAGTCACTCCTCGGAAGCCTTGTGCACAAAGAGCGAGAGTGAGCCTAATACGAGTAAGCTTTCGGTCACATATAATCCCTCTTGGTAGGGGATATGTTCTTGAGCAAAAATGCGCCTGCGATCTTCGGAACCTGTACGCTGGTAGTATGAAAGGACAATCACCGCAGCGGGCACCACGGCATGAACACTTTAGATACTTTACATAGATCACAAAGCGGTACTGTACCTCCCGAGACATTGGACCCTTTATAAGAAGTCCGTAGAGTAAGAAAGTTACAACAAGAGCCAATGCCGACCCATCCGCATAGCCTTTACAAAGCAGATTCATGGGCTGGAAGGAGGAAAGCGGAGCAGCAGTAGCTACAGTCAGAAGGAAGAAGAGGGGGAAAGAAAGACACGTCGAGGCGAGAGTCAAAGGACGACAGCATCTCCTCTGATTTCACTTGATGTTGTTCCTGTTATATGCATGCATCGAGCCAAGGCGAGAAGGCCGCCACGGAGGTGAATACACTACAGATTTGCATCACGCTGCTGGACACCACTGCGATGATGGTAAGTGAGCCACTCCAAAAAGCCCGCAAGGAGGGACTCTGGGCTCTGGGCTCTGGGCTCTCCAGAGCCTGTCGCAATCCTGAGCAAGGAAGCATTTCGACAACCGTGGGGGCACGGCGGTTCGACTGAATGACCTTTGACGCAGTTGGAACGGGGGAAGCTACGCCACAAGGCAGACCAGACGCCAACCTTAATAGCCACAAGCAGCGGTAAGAAAGAAACCAGAGCAGCAACTCGACTCCCCGACACAGCCAAGTTGGTAAGTATGGACCCTTGACGCCTACTCACGTCCTTTCCATCCTCGTGCCCGAAATCCCCCCGCTTTCCTGCAGCGCCGGCATGCCCCAACCGCTCATCCACCGAGACTGCAGAGCCTGTCGCGCGGTGATTCTCTCCTCCGGCCGAAACGCCAACATCGCGCGCAGCATCTCCATCAGCGCCGCCCTCTCGTCCTCCGTCACCGGTTCCAAACCCCCCCCTCAGCCCGCGGCTTCTGGATACTCTCCTCGAACCGCCTCTCCCAGGACCTCCGCCCACCACCGGGCCCAGCCCTCCCCGTCCTCACCAGATCCAGCGTCGCCCTGCTCGCTGAACCACTCCCGTCTCCTCCCCCACCTCCCCCACCATTCCCCCGGCAGACTTCCCGAGCACCTCGACCTGCTCGGCCGTGACACGATCCGGACTCGGAAAAAACGTCTCAAACAGCGGCCGTTGCCCGAGAATCTCCCAAACACAACACGCCAGACCCCAAACATCGACGGCGCAGGAAAGCGGCTCGTCGGAGAATCTCGCCTCGGGCGGCTGAAGAAGTGGCAGGGTTTTGGAAGCAACCCTCACCGTTTCGCACGGCGCAAACGATTCCCCAAAGTCGCTGAGCGTGATCGCTGCCTCGCCGAGAGGGCGGTCCTCACAGCGCACACGCCGTACCACCCGGGAATGAACACGCGCGTGGGGACGCCCTCCGCTAAAGGGGGGCCATCGAGACGAACCACATCCTCCGACTCGGGGTCGCCGTATCTCTCGTACAGCTCTGAGGGGGAGATACTGTCAATGGAGCGGGGAAACTGAACAAGAATATTACCTAGATGCAGATCTTTTCGGGGAGAGGTACGGAGAGTCAGCTCTAATCAAATCCACCCGCGGAGTCTGACGGAGGACGGAGAAGGGGCACCATCACCATACTAACCGCCATGTACAAAACCCCAAACTGTGGAGGAAGGCGACGCCCCGAATGAGCTGGGCGATCATCGACTGCGCGACCCGGGGGCCGAAACACCCCGGACACCGTACCCGAAGCCTCCTCCTCCTTGGCATCGAACAAGCTCATCCGCGCCGGCGGCGTCACCACACACCGATGCCGACCATTGCACCCGACCACCCAGAACTCATCCCAAAGGGGGCGGGAAGACTTCCTTCCCGGGACGAGACACCGCACTTGCCAGCGAACGTAGCACCCTCACTTCAGAGGAGGAGGAGTGGCTGCTGGCGTCCGCGGTGAGGACCTTCACAGCGACGTATCGGGCTTCGCGGCAGTCCCGGGCCAGCCAGATGGTCGAGTAGCCCCCGTGCCCAAGCTTGCCGACCAGCTGGTATCGGCCATCCGCTAAGCTATCCCCGACCTGTAACGGAAGATAGCCGCCGGGGCGGTATCGGTGGAGGTCTTCGACGTCTTCCATCAACCGGTACTGGAACTTGCCAGGCGGCGTGCCGGATGCTCGTGTATCTTGGCTCATCTCATCTGATCTCCGCGGGGTGCGAGTGGACATGGCCGATGATGTCTCCCTGCCGTGAAACCCCAACCCAGTCAAGACAAACGTGCATACCTGGCTGCGAGGGCGCCGCCGGGCATTGATGGATGTGGAAGGACGTGTGAACATCTCGCGGCGCGGGCACTCCGGCCGAAGAACTGCTGTAGACAAGAAGACTAACGCGGGTTTTTGACCTGTACGAGACGTTTTCCAAACCCTTGTCCTGGGTGGCTGGTGACTGAGCTGTTGTTGATGTCGTTGTCTAACTTAGTTAACTTATCGATAATGACTAATCTATGACCAATCAGCCCATGCCTTGTTCAATGGAAGATCTCAATTCCAACTTAGCTGTTAATAGGTAAATGACGATATCCTGGCAGCTCACCTCCCAAGGGCTGAGGTTGTTGGTTCTCCATAAAGTTCCTTTCGTTTCTCTCAGATCCGCACTCGACATGGCTGGATTCTACAGTACATGGAACAGAGAGTCGAAGGTGACACCGTATGTACTGCTGTTCTGCCCGTCCATCGTCCCTTGGACACGCCTTAAGCACCTGACGGACCGACCCGTTGATCTATAAGGGAGTATTTTCGGTTACAATAGGAAAGATACCCTGCTCACAGAATACTATAACTACTCCTTCTGCCGGGTACGAGTCTTCCTCCCTTAAGATTAGCGATTTTCCTCAAGAGAGTAGTAAGTACAGCTGTCCACTTACTATTGTAGGAGACGGATTTTTCTATTCTTCGACTATGCTATAACGAAATATGCAGGTACTGAGTGGCCAGGCTGAACCAGATACATTTATTCAAGCGGGACAACACTTCAATAGAAAATGACAGTAGGTCATGAATTCAGTTGATCTTAGGTCTTTCCTCCACATACGACTAGAACTGTCCAGTACAGCTATCTACTCCCGGCTGCACCATACAGCCCGAGAAACAATCAGCTACTGGAACAACTCCACACAATCAAAGATCTATACTCGTTAGCAAATCCCTCATCCAACACACAAACAAAAACTTACAAAGTTCGGACTCAAATACGTATCCCCTGAACTGCCAGAGATCACGTTGATCGTAATCTACCCATCACATTAGCAACATTAACCAACCCCACACAAGCCAACTTACCGTATTTGTTCCCGCGACGATCGTCCCCGACGGGATGGACACATCATACACCTCGCCCAATCCCCGGTACGCACCGCGGGTCACGCCCCGAGAGTCCAGGTTTGTCGGCGCGGCTGGTGCGCTTCCTGTGTAGCTGTTGATCTGTTTGCAAGTCAGCGACTGAAACAATTCCTAAGAGAAGGGGCAGTACCGTCGCCTGGGGTCGTCCACCGGCAAACGACAAGGTCGTCCCGATTCGCAGGGTCGCTGCGCCGGTCTGCGCGGATGTGGCGGTGAATTTGATGGTGACCGGGTTGTTGACGCTTTTGAACACGGCCATTGGGAAGTCAGTCAGAGCGGAACTGCCAACCGTATAGGTCAGTGGACCCCAGGAGGACATGCGCGAGTCGGAGGGGTGCATGCGGAGCTGGTTGGCTGCGTTGCGGAAACCGGTCGGTCTGTGAGGTTAGTACTGGCACGATGTCTGGTAGCCAGGGGATAGGTACGTACTGTCCGTCCCATTCACCAATCTTGAAAATGGTAGTGCCGGTCTTCACGGACCCCGAAATGTTCTTCGTTGTGGTTGATCCGGCGGACACGGTGACCGAGCTCGTGGCGACCGCGTACTCGCCTTGGTAGTAGACCATGGTATACGTTCCGGGCTTCATGGCGGGCGAGGTGAAGCTGCCGCTGGAGCTGGTATAAGTCCAGTACTGTGCCGCATCGTTGTACCTATCCTCATTAGCTGACGACCACACCGCAGGGAAAGGTGCGTACCAGTGAACCACCCAATCCATGCTCGAGTCTGCTCCGGATGCCGTGCCGGTCACTTTGCCTCGGCCTGAGGCGGCAACATAGCCTTTGATGTCAAGGTCGGCGAAGAATGAGGTATCGATGCTGGTGCTGGGGGTACCGCTGCGACTAAAGTACATCGAGTATGGGCCGTGGAGACCCATCCGGTAGGACTCGGTTTGAACGTGGCCGGAGTTCTAGACTATCAGAGATGATCTTCTATATTGGTGGGTTACTCACCATGTACCAGTAGAGGGCGTTGTAGCTCCCTCCGTTGTTCGAGTTGATATCCCTGTGTTGTCAGTTTCCTGTCATCTGACCCGGCTGGAGACATACCGGTGGAAAGGACCTCCGGAGGAGCTTTCGTATTGATTCAAGATCATGCAAACGCGGTGGGCATCCCCGGCAATGCCTGCAAGGTCAGTAATAGCCCAGGGCCGAGACGGTAGTACTTACAGTGTCGCTGATCGTCGATAAATCGCTCGCTCGAGTAGAACTTGCTGCGGGTTTCACTGCCGACCAAAAACTGTTTACGTCAGAGTCTTCCTCTGCAAAAGGTCAGAAAGTCACATACCACATCTGATCCCTCAATGGCAGTCCCGTCAGCGGTGGTGGAAACGTCGCCAAACGGCTCCTCGTTCGGTAGCACGACCGAATTCAGTCGAGCGATGAACCGCAGCTCGCCGATTGACGGCTCTGCCAGGTATCAGCCATCAACCACGCCTCAACGAGACAATCAACTAACCGGCAGTGATATATGTCGCCATGTGAATGATTGGGTCCCCATTATGCACCACCATGTACTGCGTCAAGGTGTCCGTCACACAGGTCACCTTGATATAGTCCCCGGACTGCGTGGCGGTCACCGTCGCAGAGCCCAGACCCGACCCAATGTGACTGCCCTGGCTGGAGTACTGCAGCTCCGTGCCATAGTGGATGATGGAGGTGATGTCGCAGCTGCTGCGGCTGACGGTGAACTTCAGCTGGTTTGGCGCGTTGGTGTCGATGACATAGGCGCTGGAGCTGGTGGTGATGCCAAAGGCCGCGTTGGCGACCTGGGCCGTGAAGGCCACGAACGACAGAAGCGAGGCTTTGAGCATTGTCCGGGTGTGCGCTGCGGTTAGTAGTGCTGCGTGGTCGTGGTATAAATACTATAGGCTGCCTGGGGTCCCCCTACTGCTCTCACTCAGGACAGCGCTCGGTCCCATGCCAAAGTCTTGGAATGACATCTGTTCCACCAATCTCAGGCACGCCGGGTGTTTGAGTGGTCAGAACAGTACAAGACTCCGTGTGTCCGTGTCGGGAGTGGAGGCAAGTGCCGCGCCAAGATGTCTTCAGGATTTAGTGTCGCATGGTGGAAACGGGGTGGAACGGGCTGCGGAGAGGTGAAACGTCGGTAGTTTGAGTTGTACGCGATGTGCGCGAGGTGTACGCTCCACTGGTGACTGCATTAGAGGATGTGAGATGCAATTCGAGCTGTGAGAGTCTGAAGAAAAGACGACCTACCTTTTACATTGCGCATTTTGTGAATTATGAGTTGTGATAATGTTCCATGTGGATGGTGGTTGGTAGGCTCGAGCGTCTGCCGATCCCTCCGCTCGGTTAGATTGAAGGGCCGTTCAGTGGTGGACGGACATTTGTCTTGGCTGATGGACGGAGCTTGCTCCGACGGATATTCTGGGCAAACATGACTCGTCGGGGTGTGGACTCATGGGTGATACTGATGTATCTCCACTGCTGGTGTGACAGGGGTGACAGGCGTTGGTGGGTCGGTTCGTGCCTCGAGACGGTGCCTTCGATAGTTCTTCCCTGACCCGGTTGCTGGAATGGTGGGTGTTAGCTAGAGTGCGTCTGTGCTGATGGCTTGCAGGAGAAACCTATCTCGACACCTGCGACCTTGATGTATCGTCGTAGTGGAGATCATGTCAGGAACGAGCGTTCGGCCAACAACGAAGCGATGGAGAAAATGGATGTATGTCTCCTTCTGTCGGCACGGCAGGTACGATGGAGATCCGTTGATTGCTTCTATAGGCAGGCCAGGTCATGTGAGCACGGCGGCAGTAGAGCCCCTCGCATTTCCTCATCTTTCACGGCATACGAGGAGTGCCTGAAAGAGGACGGTTGGGTTGCTACTAAGCTCGAAAGTAGATCGTCTTGCAATGCACTTTGATGTTTGGCTACTGACTGATGACAAAATAGAAGATAACCAAGGTCCGTCTCCCAATATGTCATCAGCAGACCTATATGTCTACCCGTGATTTCGAGTCATCTGACATCGAATATCGATCTGCTAGATGCTAGCTCATACCATGATCTACAACGGAGTCAGTTGCAATCATAGCGGGGATTTCTAGACCAGAACGTCGAGCCTGGCAGGACCAGACAACTACAAGCTTACTGCGTCCATGCACATCTTCCGTCCGCATTATTGCCCCAATACACCATACAGTTGGCATCTTACCATGCTGATCAACCTGCTATACCAGTTCGAATAGTGTTGCTCCCGCTCATCGAATGACGTCGGCACAGGATCATACCGGAAACCATCCAAAGACTTACACAGTGACTCACACATCTATGGAACCCATGTCCATGATATATAGTCCCTAGTACGGATAACTGGAAGTTCTGTCTACACCTCATCCGAACTGTGCTTCCAGACACATAGCAACATCCCAACATGGCACCGTAAGCCTTCATTCAAAGCCCTATTCCCGACGGCGCTTGTGGGCTGGAAGTTCTATTGGCAATAGGAACGATCACACCACGAAGTTAAAAGCAATCGCCAACAAGGCTGTCAAGCATCCAGACACTCCTGGAGCGCAAAAGAAAGAGCCTCCCCAAGGCAACACAAAAGAAGTTACCCCCAGCAGAACCATTGGGCAACCCCAGGCCAAGGACGCAGCCAAACCAACAGAGACACCGCAGTCCCAAGCACGCGTACGTGAACTGCGCACCGTACAACCTCTAAGCTAATGACAGGGCTAGCAGCACGCAGACGCAGTAGTACCTCCCGCTTCCAACCCTGCACCTTCCGAAGCACACTGGCATGGTATGTGTAATTCCCTGTGGAACAGAAATGGACCATGTATTGAGATTGACGAAGCGAACCCCCGCGCGTTCAAGTGCGCGCTATGTCGGCAGTGGCATACGGCGCGGTGCCCTTGGTTGAGGAACTATTAGATGAGCTATTGTTGGTTTGGTAGCAATGCTTAGGGTGCATAGCAATGCTTAGGGTGCATACATGGTTGAGATATGCTGAGCATAATTTCTGTAGCTACTTGCTGCTTTGTCCCAATGTCAGGAACTTCTTGAAGTCATTGCGGAGACCTCCATACCCCCTTGTAGTACTTAACGCAGTTCTACTATCTGATCACCCCTTCACGATAGACCCGCTCAGAATCGCTTACGCCATCGTAGAGCCGATACTCGAGGAAGGACCTCTACAGCCATAAACATGTCCGGCTCCCGCCACCCAAGGGCGCAAAAATGACCTTTGCCTGCTGCGGCTCGTCCAGCCACCGTCCAGGGGCTAATCTGTGATTTCAAGCCGTGACTAGAAGCCCTACGGTAGAGAGGCATGGTTCAGGGACTCAGCTTACTGACCAGGCTCAGCCCATACACTGACTTACCGTCTCGAAGCAAAGAGTAGGACTGGGTGGTACGGGGCTGTGGTGCCCCCACACATTGAAACCCGCCCCGGGAACGATCCGAGGCAGTCCCAGCGGCGCAGCACCGCACAATCGCCGCGCCTCGTTAATGACTGCATTGAGGTACGGCAACTCTTCCAGCTCGGAGTCCGTGAAAATCCAGCCGCAGGGCCGCCACCTTCTCCTCCAACCGCGACTCGATCTCGGGGTCTGCCATCACCGCCCACCTGAGGAAGATCATCGTCACGACCCCTATTATTCCAGAGCCCGCGGCAATCAACACAACGGACTCCAACAGCACTTCGCGGTCGGTCATTGTGTCGCCCTGCAAACCTGCAGAGATGTTCACCCTAGGCAGCTCTTTTTGCGAGGCCCGCTAGACCACTCCCAATCTTTTCTTCTCGATGTATATACTGGTCCGCACGAGTCAGAGGGTCAACCTAACCACAGGCGCAGGCTCCTAACGCACAGCAACAGGCGGGAAACCTCCCGCCGGAGCGCCCGAGCTTTGTTGACAAACTCCAACTCCTCGATGTGCTTGCTTTTTGGGACAGAAGTGGATGTTCTCAGCTGACATGAAGAACGGGGGCCCGGAGTCACCGAGTCGTCGGAAGGTGGTTCGAGATTCTCTGATCGCAAGTGTGCCCTCCCACAGCAACAAGGCAATGGGAAAGAAACACATAGCGAGGCGGGAGCATGATCCAGTGACAAGGGTTACATCTCAAGTTGGCATTTGACGTGGTAGGATGGGCTTGAATCGCCTTCTCATCGGTCTCCGGTTCAAGACGAAGCCTGGGTCAACGCACAGGCTGTAAATCATGGGTTCAATCTTCCCTCCACACTAAAATCGGCAGATGGACCCGGGTCAGTCCGTGTTCCCACTGGTTGAACCCATTGTGCCCCGAGCAACCCCTCATGTGGCAGAGTACGTACTGATTTGCCTGGTAATCAGGGTTTCTCCCATTTGCTTTGAAGGTTGGACTTCTTTCTGAGACCCCCTCCCCCTGCGCTTCCTAGAAGAGTGAAAGGGGCGGTCGGCCATTTATGACCCCAGTGCCGAGACCCGTCTTATGCGATGTACATCCTGCATCGGGTTGTGCCAAGTTGTGCCTCGTGGTTGGACTCCGAATGTCCCTCGAGGCGTGAGTGGATTGGAGAGCTATCAGGTTTTAATGAATACCTTCACCCATCTGGGATCATACCAAGCCGAGGCAGCAGGGTCTATAACACTCTGTACCTAGTCAATGGATGGCAGTGGGGTTACTTGTGTTACCAACGCCTCTGGCAAGTACATATCAGACAAGGGCTATCATACCGAATCAGAATCTCGCCTTTCTTAAGAGGATACAGATTGTGATTTGCGCTGCGGTGAATCTATAATGTATACATAATTGCGGCTCCAACAATCTGCTCATGGGGCCCGGGGCATAGGTGTGTTGCCCCAACAAACAGCAAGCCCGGATCGAAGATCTCTCCAAGGCTACTACGATGAAGAAAAGAGGCAGGCAGCAAAGCCGGTTTCCGAATTAGCCTAGCTGAGATGCACGTAAGGAGTAAGCCAGCATTAACATAAACCCTCAAGCCGGATCTTGTGCTCACCCAATCCAGGTCCTTTGGACAGCGGAGATCCACCTCCGCCCGCTCCTTCACCCCGGCCGGCGCCTGGAAAGTTCCCCGGTGCCCTGAAGGCACTCGAGGAAGACACGTTTGGTCAGACGGAAGACCTGGGACTTCCGTGCTACCCGGCTCTACACTGAGCCCAGGGGATTGGAAACCTCATCCCGTTGAACACGAGGTCAAGGGCATCGGACAAATTAAGCGTTGAGCAATACCTAGTCTCTAAATCTGCATCAGATTTGTATCCAAGTCCTTCTCGCCATGTCTACAAGATGCGGTTTTCTGTGCTCCCGGCTGCAGTTCTCATCCAATCAGCCCTTGCTGCGCAGTTCTTTCCTCACCACTTCCCCTCACGCGATGAGCACGCTGGGTATCACCGAGCTAGAACGTGAGATCTTTGCCGTTGTTGAGGGCAACCTTTCCTCCCCCCAGCGTCACGCCGACCCTCGGCTCCTTTGCCGTCTGGACGGGTCACCTCACCGGCAACGTCGTGATCTGGCGCCTCAACGCGACGACGGGCGAATGATCCGTGGCTCCGTCCCATACCTCAATGGTCCCAGCCGCCGGACAGCCCGTGAAGGTGGGGGTCAACGGCATAAAAGTGGGAGGAAATTACGTCTACTCCACGAGTTCTGGCCCGGAGGTATTTGCGCGCTTCCCGGTGGACAGCAACGCACGCAGCTGCCACGGGGCCGGTCGAGATCATCGGCCGTGGGTTCTTCTTCGACGGTTTTGCGCCAAGTGCGAATGGCACGGCGGATCTCACCACCAATCCGCCGAACGGAGTCATTGATATCTCACCGGAGGGAGGGACGTGTTCGGCTACTCGCGGGCAACCAGTTCATGCTTGCGGTTGGCGGGTCAACGGCTGCGGCCATCGATCAGGAGCGTTCGCTTCTCAATGTGGCGACGAGTGGTGCGCTGGAGCCCGCAAAGGTCGCAGCCATTTCTTTGTAGATGTTTCCTATGACGCTGCGCTGTATTCAGCTGTTTGGGTGGTTTAGAGGCGGAGGTTAGCTGCTTGGGAGACCCACGAAGGTGAATGTATAACACAACATGTCTGCATGATTTTTGAACTCCAGCTTTGACCAGGCACACCGAGTAAGATGACCACCCTAGACATTGGCGGTGGGAGGATCTCAGTCATGTGACCTACGGGCTCACCAAGGCGTAGACGTAGAGTTGAAAAGTTGCAAGTCGGCCAGAGCCCATCGAAAGTGGGAGCCATTGACAAGTTAAGGGAATCCAGCGATACCCCCGCACGCTTCCCTCGATTTTGTGTTCCGGAACGGAGCCACAGTGGGTCTCTTGTGGGTCTAGTACGGAAGACCTGGCTGAATCCACAGAGCAATAATGACACCAAAAACAAACCGCGCCCAAGACAAGCCGGGGGGGGAAGCGGATCCGACTCCTCATGTAGCGCAAGATGATAGATTTAACAGTGCAGCCACCGATATGGGTAGGGGGACAGACAGGCTATAAAGCACTCGAGATCATGGTCTGGAGATTGGATGAATGCCACCCATCCCCAGGACTGTTCCGCCCATCATGAGCAACATCTACGGCATCCGCACCCCGCACAGCAAGGTCGCCTTTGTGACCGGGGCCAACGGTATCAGCGGCAGTGCCATTGTTGAGCATCTGATCAAGCAATCGGCCAGCGAGTGGTGAGTCTTTTGGTCTATCTGAACCCAACATCTACCTCAATCCCCCATCGATGGAATAGTGTCCACTCACCACTACCCCAGGTCTGCGATCATCATTACCTCGAGAAGCCCGATCAAGGCTGTATACACCGACCCAAGAGTGCGGTTCATCGCCATCGACTTTCTCGAGCCGGCCGAGGCCATCGCCGAGAAGATCCAAGGATTGTGCGCGGATGTGACCCATGCCTTTTTCACAGCCTACATCCACAACAACGACTTTTCGCAATTGCACCAAAAGAATGGCCCTCTGTTCCGCCACTTCGTCGAAGCAGTGGACCTGGCCTGTCCCAAGTTGCAGCGCGTAGTGTTGCAAACTGGAGGCAAGGTGAGCACGGGTTTGCCCTAATTCCCACTCCCCCCCTCCGGAACGAGACTCTGACCGTCGGCAGCACTACGGGTTTCAATTCAGGGATTTCACCACGCCCTTTCTGGAAGATATGCCTCGCTACGAGGGCCCCGAAAATATCTTCTACTACGAACAAGAAGACGACCTGTTTGCGGTCCAGAAACGCCGAAACACCTGGAGTTACAACATCATCCGTCCCATGGCCATCATCGGCTACAGCTGCCAATGTACGCAGACCGGGCCCGCCCGCCACGCGTTCCCGGAGTCTCAACGCTAACCATTCTGCAGATCTGGGAATCAACGAATCCCTGCCCCTGGCCCAGTACTTCCTGATCTGCCGGGAGCTCGGCGAGGCTCCGCGCTGGCCCGATTCTCTGGAAAGCTATCACCGCGTCGAGAAGCAGTCGTCCGCCATGGGGATTGCCAACCTGACGGTCTGGGCAGCCACGGACCCTGACTGCAAGGACGAGGCCTTCAACCACGACGATGGGGATGTGATCGTGTGGAAATTTCTCTGGCATCTGCTGGCCAAATACTTCCGGGTCTCGATGGATAAGTTCGAGGCCCCGACGGCGGCGACCCGGCCATTTGACCTAGGTGAGTGGGCGCAGGACAAGAAGGCGGTATGGGAGTGCATCGTCGCCAAGTATGGGGGCGACCCGGAGGCATTCCAGATAGATGCCTTTAGGCTTATGAACTGGTACATCACGCCCGCGGCGAACCCGGCACCAGTCATGGGCACCGTCGTCAAGGCGCGTCGGTTTGGCTGGGTGCACAGCGATGACACCTATCAATCGTGGCTGAACACCATGCGTGCCTACGAAAATGCCGGTGTTTTGCCCACTCTGCCCTTATGTTCTTGAGTGGCGGCGTAGCGCGGAAGACCTGGCATTCACCACGTCGGGGATACATGGGCAAGGGTACATAGGCAAGGGAACATAGGCAACGGGCGTTAGCATGAGAGCAGATGATATAAGTTTGAGCAAGGGTTGATTGTTCCAAAACGAGAACGAGAGGTCAGCAAAGCGCGGTTTTCCCGCTGGATATGGATAAATGCCGGCTTTGCCACTGGATCTTTTTCATCTCAGCCAGCTGCGTATTCTAGCCATTCAAGATTACATGCCAGCATCATTCAGCCAGAGGGGTTTCCAGTATAGGATCCACCCTTTTACGAGTATCGCGAGAATGCCTGTCCCAGTGAAGTTCAAAATGGGCCAGGCACCGAGAAAATGTCACGTGTACGTAAGGGATTGTGCTGGCGGGGACTGGATCAGACCGACGCCTTGGCTGGACAATCGCTTGGGCCTCGTATGTAAGCGGCACTCGGAACCTGGTGGTCCGACAGTATGGAGACCAGCCTCGGAGGTCCCTCAAGGGCAGTCTGGTAGGGCTCTTCACCCGCCGGAATCTACAGCTTCCTCTGCGGGGCAAGCCACGAACCGCCCAAACACGGCCATAGCAGCATACGGCCTGCACATAGCCTGCACACGAAGACAGCCTGCAGTCTCCATGGGAGAAAATTTACCGCGATGCGCGTTTCCGTCTCCCTTCTCACCGGGCTCTTCCCCCCTTGGCGCAGCAGCCAAAGAAACTTGTCAAAACAGTGGCCAGCTCAGGGAACAAGCACGAGTCTAAGGTCTACCGGCTTGCTGAGACTATCTAGATACCATAACACAGAGCGGGTCTGTGATTCCCGAGACAGTGTTTCTCATTCAGAAAAGGAAAAAGATCCACATCACATAATTCATTAAAGCGAGAGGGCCACCAGGTCTACTCTGCTTGTTCGTCCTCCAATTTGCACATGAGCTCGCATTGATAGCCCTGGTCACGACCGGCACGACAGCGTGGACATTCTCTCCCATGTGGAAATGAACAGCAGATGCAGAGAATACTTCAGACCGTCGGGTATCCTCTGCTCCAGATGGGCGCGGGCTTGCTCCGCGGATGCCTGGGAGGGCCTCCAGCCCAGTTCTCCGGTCAGCCGGTAGATGTGAGTATCAACCACAAAACGCTGGCGCTGCAGCGTCAAGGCAAGCACGCAGCTGGCGGTTATGGGACCGACCCCATAATAAGAGAGGAGTTCCTGCATCGCCTCCGAGTCTGTTGCACGGAACAGAGGATTCAGCGTAATATTCCTGATGCTTGCTCCAGACCTGCTGTAGGATCTTCAAGATCATGCGCGATTTCCGCTCGTGCAGGCCGCCACAGGCCAGGGTCTCTCGAAGCTTGGACTCGCCGCCCTCGGCGATGGCGGAAAAGTTCCTCCAGGACCCGTAGACCTTATCCAAGCCATGCACCTGGCGGATTGCGTTCCGCTCGTTGGTTGCTTGGCACAAGACACCGTAGATGAGACCGTGGAGAACGTCCGGGAACTGGCTGGGGGCGGCCATCAAGACCGTCGGCGTCTAATACCTCGCTGGAGAGCGGATCGCGGGGACCGTGCAGCTTGGTCAGGATGCGGTTGACGCGGTAACACTCTTCCGGCGAGGGCTCACTGAAATCGGGGTAGGGGGACTCGGAGGCATATCGGCGGAAGTGATTCCATTTCTTTTGTGCGCGTTGTTGGGCGGCAGTGGGATTTTGGTCCGCCGAGGCTGATGAGGTTCGGAGTATGGCCCGGGTCGTGGTTGTGGTCGTGCTGTGGCTCCGACCCGCTCGGTGAGCTTGTCGACGGAGAACCGGCGCCATGGCTAACATCCAGCAACATCCAGCTCCCTCCCGGAGATCATGAATCACAGAAGACGAAGGGAGCGAGCAGGGGAGTAGTCGGCCCTCTTGTAAGGTCCTTCCAAGGTTTCCAAGTCGTCTCGAAGCTGGCAACCCACAACAAATCTCACTGCACAGCCCGCTTCGGGTTATCATCCTGATTGACTAGGGTGTCTTCTACGCCCAGTGCAAGAGAGTATACCGCTTGGTCTGTCGCCTATAATTCCGCTAGCCGTACAGGAATATGGTTACCCTGGAAAAGCCAACTTGAGAGGGGCCAGAGAGGGGCCAGTCTTATTCTGCCTCCTTTTCCTGTCCTGTTCTGGCAGTGCAGCGACGCCGCCGCCTGCCTGCGCCGGGTTGAAGGGCTTTCTCGTGATCTGCGACCGCAGCTGCTTGCAGACGGCACTCAGCGGCGTGGATTGATGCGTTGATGGGAACGCCACAAAAAAAAAAAAAAAAAAAGCAACTTCGGGAAGAACGCAAAATTTTCAAAGTTACGCTACTATAATATAGTGAATTGCTTCTAAACTCCGGGGTGGTGGCTCGCTCGGCTGACGAATCCGATAGCGAGTTAGGTTATTCTACGGAGCACGCCGTAGTATAGGAACGGAACAGAGCGGACCAAGACAGCGGACCGCGGTCATCGACTACCGCTACCACTGCTTCCCATTGTTCATAGAAACACCCCCGGCAACAAGATCTTAGGGCCAGTTGGCTTTGAAGCCTAGTCTCCTCTATGCAAGAGTTCATTACGTGTATATTTCCCCCTCACCATCCAGTCATTGACGTCATGATGTCAAGAACGATGCCAAAACTAGTAAGCCACGGCGAGCTCACTATCCACATATACGATTGTCTGGAAGGCTAGAGCACCAGATTTAACTCTGCGGATAGATCTCCCGCACCGCACTCGGGAATCCATGCCAACAAAAATGTCAGTACCCCCCGAAGCCTACTTTGAGACCCAAGCACGATTGACGACCTGGACCGACGAGCTTGAATTCCTGGGGTATATTCTATGCGAGCTGATTGATGCCGATGGATTGAATGAGAGAGGATACCGATGCCACCAGGCAGCCGACTTACCAGCTATAATCGACATTATTCGGTTGCAGTTGAAAGATTCCAATGGCAGGCTCGCCACGGTCATGGGGGAAGATCAATTGGAAGCCCTCCGTCGATTGATGACACAGGCGAAGCGAATCCGAAACAATATGGCGCATCATACCACTCAGAATGAGCAAGAGCTGGGAAACTACGAGGAAACGAAGCGGAGCTTGTGTGATTTGTTCGAGTACACTATCAAGGCAGTCGCATCGGAGCGTGGAATAAGCCAGGTTTGCTGCCCTCTCGAAACATACGTCGACACTGGGCTAATAGCGTACTCGGTAGATCACTTGGTCTCCGTGCTATCACATTTGCCAAACGTACATCGAAGAAAGAGGGCCTCTGAAAGTCACGATTCCGCTGAACGAGGAATCTTTGCTATCTCTTCGCCAAAGAGCTCTTCAAGATCACGACATCAGCCAGAAAGGGTTGCTTTATCGCCGTCCGAAACGCAAGGCAAACGAAGAGAGCCGCAAAAAGCAGCGAGATGACTATGAAGCTGCCGTCACCAGACGGAGGCAGAAGCAAGAGCGAGATCTGGCTATGCGATCCAGCCATCTGACTCGGAAGCTGCAAAAACTGGAACAAAGATTCCGCATGTCCCGGGAGCTTCGTTCCGCCCAAATAAACGTGCTAGCAGATCGCATGAGAGCAGAACAAGAAACGTTCCATCGACAGCGAGAAGAGATCCTTCAAAGTGGGCTGTTGCAGCCCGCCGGCCACGAGCCAATTTTGTTGATAACAATATTTCTGGCGGTCAGCTCCCCGCTCTGGATACCTGGTGCGCTCCTCTACCACATGTACAACAGATTCTCTGTCTAGCCACATACACGCCAACTTGATGTTCAGCCGCAAGGCCAAGTTTCTCACATCTTGTGATATCGATTCCAATCTCCTCAACACATTGGCAACCTGCAATCCCTGTATTGAAGTTTTGAACGGTAGTCTAATTAGCGGAATCGGAAGATAGTAATCAGCATCTGAAATATCTGTTTATTACAGCTATGTCAGATTCGGTTGGTTGTAAGGCTTTGTTTCGGAAAGCGGAGGAAGAAAGAAAGAAAGAAACTTGAATACGAAAGGAGGTAGAAGAAGACATTGAGGGAGTAAGCCAAAGAAAAGAGAAGGCAGGAGATATTAGTCTGTGCTACTATGCTAGGAAAATATCCTTGCTCTATGGAGGATACCTTAATCTATGGAGGATAAACCCGCATACCCCCTCCCCAACAAATAAAAGCGAACATGACTCTATACAACTCCGCCAGGAAAATCCCCCCTTCAAACCCCCAACCTCACCCATTCACCCTCCTCACAACCACCCAAGCAGCGCCGACCCCGACCAGCCCCCAAACCCACTTCCACGCACTCCACCGCCCCTCCTCACGACCACCACCAACACTCCCATGCACCAACCGGCCCTGCACCCAAACCGCCCTGACGTTGCGATCATCCCCGCTCCACACCCACTTATGCACCTTCTCCACCCAGCTCTCCTCGCCAAACACATCGACATTACTGCCGACCCCGTCCGGCCCCCACAGCCCCGCCGGCTGGAACCGCCCCAGCCGAATCAACTGCGCATCCCAGGCCATGCCCAGCTCGAACCCGCCGATCAGATCGGGCAGATCGACTACGGCGGCGCCGCCGCGCGTGGCGAGGTACAGCGCCTCCTCGACGGAGACGACCCCATCCTCGCCCTTTCCGTCTTCCTCTTCCTTGGGGTACTTCAGGAACGGCAGCAACCGCGACACCAAACAGGCCTGCCGCACGCCCTCCAGCAGCCCCACACTATACCCGCCGCTCACATCGCTGCCCAGCCCCACGACCACCCCGCCCCTCCGCAGCCACCGGACCGGACAGATCCCCGACCCCAGCGCCGAGTTGCTCGCGGGACAGTGGCTGACCTTGGCGCCGCGGGCGGCGACGAGCGACCGCTCCGCCGGGGAGAAGTGCACCGCGTGCGCCAGAATGGTGCGGGGCGTGAGCAAGCCCGCCGCATCGTACACGGCAGCGTAATGCGCGCAGGCCGGGAATTGCTGGCGGACGAGGGCGATCTCGTTGACGTTCTCGGCGATGTGCGTCTGGATGTGCAGCGGGGGGGTGTGTTGCCTGGCGAGGGCGGCGAGCCCCGCGAGAGAGGGCGGGGTGCAGGAGGGGGCGAAGCGCGGGGTGAGGATGGGTTTGACGAGGGATTCTTTGGTGGAGGGGGCGAGGGAGTGGATGTGCGCGATGACGGCCTCGGTGTCGCGGAGGCTGGCCTCGGGGGACTCGTCGATCAGCGTGCTCGGGCATGTCGACGGGTTGTCCATGCAGACGCGGCCGATCAGGGCGCGCTGGCCGCGCTGGTGCGCGAGGCTGGCCAGGAGGTTCGTCGCGGGCACGTGGATCGTCGCGTAGTAGGCGGCGGTCGTCGTGCCGTGGCTCAGCGTCCGCGCGATGACCTGCGAGTAGGCGCGGTAGGCCGTGGGCGGGGGCAGGCCCGGCAGCGCAGCCGGGCTGGCGAAGGAGGCTTCCATCGGGAACGTGTAGGTCTGCAGCCAGTCGAGGAGGGTCGCGCTGCCGAAGAGCCCCGTGTTGGGGTACTGCGGGGCGTGGATGTGGGTGTCTGCCTTGTTGTTAGTCCGGTGTGCAGGCTGGGAAGGCGGTCCCGCAGGCTTCCCGGGGGAGAACCCCCGGACCCCCCTTTCTTTCAGCTTCCCAGCAACACTCGACCAGAAGTCCCAGAATGCGGGTTACCAGGAAGCTGAAAGAAAGGGGGGTCCGGGGGTTCTCCCCCGGGAAGTCTCCATCTGGGACTGGGAATGATGCTTACGAGGGGTGGGGGTGGGGGTGGGGGTGGGGGTGGCATACCGATAAAGCCCGGGAAGAAGAACTCGTTCTGGTCTTCGCGAGCGCGCACAAGTTCCACGCGCACGCAGCTGCGACTGCCTGCGCCGGCGAGCACCCACCCGTGCCGCTTGAGCAGGGTCTGCAGGTCGGACTCGGAGGCGACGCTCCAGTCGAAGCCCTTGATCTTGCCGTCGGCGGCGGACACCCAGAGGGCGCCGCGGGTGATGGCGAGCTCATGTCTGTCGTCCGGGGAGGAGGTGCGGGGGAGTTGGATGAAGGTGCCCACGTAGAGGGTGTACATTGGGGATACCATTTTCGACAGCGAGTGCGATTCAAGGAACCAGCCGGTGGTGCTCGGGAGTGAAGCAGAGAACCCTCTTGCTAACGCGCAGATACCGGAGAAGACGATCGGGATATGTTCTGTTCTGGTATCAGCCGAGTTCGCAACCACCAGAATAACAGATATGCAAACCAAGCACCCGGACAGGTGTTCAACTCACCGCACCGTCGTCCCAAATCCACAAACCTACGTTCTGCACTCTGCAAGGGCGCAATCCAAACTAATCCCTCAGCAGCCAGGCAACTCACCACTTGGAACAAAGCCAGTCCAACGGAAAGCCAAACCGAGCAAATCGCAAAAAAGCGAAGCAGAGGAGTCCAGACGGGGATGGACGGTGGATCTTAAAGGGCGATGTTCATCGGAAGTCGCTAATCTCCGCCAATGGAGCCCGCCTGCCCCGGCCTCGGAATCCGGCCGGCTCCGGTACAGTAGATTACCTTTTCGGGTTTAGTCGGGCTGCTGCTTGGAGCTGAGCTGATAAGATAAGGCTTCGTGCGGGGTGCCTGAGGCTGGCTGGCAGCTGACCAGGATCAACTTCACTTAGTCCACTTAGTCCACTTAGTCCGGGGAGGGACTACGATAAGGCGTGCAATCATATTCATTGCGTGTGAAGTTAGTAACTGACTACTAAGTTAAACTACCTATCGCAAGGTAAGGTGTGGTCGGTGCCGGACCCTGCCTAGGTACATAGTATTTACTTCCC